TTTGACATTGTCAGGATGGGAGATAAATTCCTTCCAGTTGACCAATTTCTGATGCTTGTCATCATTTGTTGCTTTTAATTGGTTTAATTGGGAACAGTATTTGTCTAAATTCAACATCTGCTTTTTAATGAAGGAGATCGAAATACAAAATGCCCCCTCCAATCTTACCAGATACACGGTATTGGCTTCTTTGGACACAGACTGGCTTTTGGAGTGGTTAATGAGTTCATTTCAATTTCTCAAGACCTTTTCTGCTTCACTTTGTTTTAAATGATCCATTTTTCATCACCTGCAATCATTCTTTTAAAAAAATGTTGTTTGAGCAAAGAATCACAGATGGAAATACAGTTTAAGTCCTCTGCCTTTAAATTGTCTGGTACCCAAACATTGTAGTTATTTATGCATCCAAGCATTTTCAAATGCTTTACAATGCTTATACGAGATATGTGGAGTATTTCTGCAATGTCCAGTGTTGTATGATCTGGATTATTTTTAATCTGTGTTGTGGTTCTGCTTTTTAGATTAAAATTTCCACTTCTGAGTCTAGCAAACTACTTATGGCAAACAGATCTCAGCTATTGCACCATCTCTATAAATGCCACACATCTTTTTTACTATTTGTACAGCATTTTTTCTTTTCAGAAAATAAGAGTATTAGATGATGAAAATGCATCTTATTTTCCTCTATTTTCTTTCTTAACATAAAAACATTTCAATTTCATAATCCACTCAGGAATTGTATAGAAAAACATATTGAAATGTCACCTTTCAGAATATGTATATGTGCCATAAATTTCAGTCCTATGGGAAACAAAATTCCATGTTCAAATGATGCCATCTATTTGAAAATGCTACAAACTTTTGTTTCAACCGAATAAATCTTTATATAATAAAAGCATGTTTATAATTTATCAAGTCCTTTATTCATAAGTATTAAAAAAAAAAAAAAAAAAAACAATTCATGATATTCTGCCATTTTGAATAAAATAACATTTAAGAGATGGTATTTTGAGTATTAATATTTTGGGTTGGATGGAATTTTTATCATTAAATGAATTCTCTCTCTCTCTCTCTCGTAATATATATATATATATATATATATATATATATATAAAACGTACTTTATGCTTGTATGTCTTTCTTATTCATAATAATCAGAGCATATAAAATTTTTATTTCAAATTTCCACAATCATAAAGCATAACTAAAAATGGAAAGCTTAATTTTTTCTTTTTTTGTTAGATGCTACAATTTTACTTACAAATTATCTTCTAAAATACGAAATTCTCTTTGTACATTTGAAAACAACATAACCTCAATTGGCTCAAGTAAGCTCATTAAAAACAAAAAATGAAAATATAAGCAAAGCACAGATCTTTTACCTCAAATGTCTTGTTTATGATTGGCCAACAAATTGTAAACAGATTTTTTTAAAAATCATGGGTTTTGACTCCACAAATAAACTAATGTTCTCACTTTATCAACATAGATATCAAGAATAAATTTATTTATACAACCTGTTCAATGCATTTTCAGTGTATGTGAAGATTTCTGATACTTTTAGTGATTTATCATTGCCAGTGTAATGGCTTTTTATGTTACAGCAGTGTAATTATTAACCTATACTCTAGGAATTTTTATTTTATTTTTTATTGTAAAAATCCCCCTTACAATAAGTGAATCAATAATTTCCTAGTATTTAAAATGAAGAGAAAAACAAAATGTATTAATGCTTGTAGGCCTTTGAGTTGTGAAATAAACAGCCAAAATTCATGTAATTTGTAGCCATTACAAGAACATCAACCAAATAGAAGTATCTTACAAATCAGACAACGTTTTAGAATATTTGTAAAATAAAGAGGAAAAAAAATTATTCATATCTTACATTAAATAGAATTAAAAAGTTTATTCGAAAAATTTTAATGAAATACATTTCAGTGGCTATTTAGAAAATGACAAATGGCTGTTGAATAAAAATATTTCTACTTTCATTAACATTAATGTTTTAGAACTTTTGTGTGTGTGTTGAAAGGTCTTGGCTGGATTAAAATAAGTTACGAATGTGTACACTATCTGATTTCTAGTAGCACATCATTAAAGTAAACGTAAACGTGTGATATTTGAAACACTGGTTTTTAGTTCTATGTAATAAATGCTTTTATTTTTAGATATTTTTGTCAATTTTACTTAAAATTGTCTCATAGTTTAACCATATTACTGAAAATTATCAAAAGTTCTGGAAAAGATTTAATTATGAAAATTAAAAATTTTACAAATATGATTTAAAATATCAAATTCTAACCATAAAAAAAAACACTTATTCCTAAAATAGCGTTGAGAAAGTGGCCCAATTCAAATAGTTTTGACAGTATGATTGGGCAACCCGAGTTACCTCCCTTCTCTCTGCATTGAATATAGTATTTTAAAAACGTTTTTTAGCTTTCCTTTGTGTATGTGTGTTGGTTAGAATGTATCGTGACACAAGACTTCATCTCTTGAATTATTTTTAGATGCTTGTACAGATATCTAAATACAGTTATAGATATTTTTCCTTAAAATAAATGATGAAAGATAAAAAAAAAAATCATTGGCTTTACACTTAATTACATAGCATTTGCAATTTAATGCTCTCTGAGATTTTTAATATTAATAAATCTTTACTATTCTATCAGATTGTTGAACTGTGTATTGTAGTAATAACCTGGAAAAAGGTTTAGAATCAGATAAACCTGAAATATGAGATGCCTTCCATGAACACCTGAATTATTAGAAATATAGCCAGACTTTGAAGATAACTTGGAAATATGTAGGACAAAAAAATCTTACTAAAAATATAAGATGCATATCAGCAATGTTTCTTTTTACATTTTTTAAGTGTCCTTTCTCTTTAACTGTAATTATGGCTATAATTTAGCAGTATAACTATTCCATGGTAACTTTATTTTTTATGGTTAATAAACTATTTAAAACCCATGCCATCTCAACCCACCTATTTTCAAAATTAGTATACACACCCAATCCCATATCAGATTTTGTTTTAAATTTAGTGTCTAGATTTTATTCTATTAGGGCAGTAAGTATATGTAAATAAATATCAATCCCTATAGATTGTTTTTTTATAGAAGTCATTTAATTTCATTTTTTTCTCTCCTAGTAAAAGCATATTTTCTCTCAAGTCTGCACAAGACACTATATTTTTAAGTGTAAAAATTAAGTATCTTACCTTTATTTATTTATTTATTTATTTATATATATATATATATATATATATATATATATATATATATATATATATATAAAATCTTTAGAAGAATCATTTTAAGAATTTTTCTCTATTTTAAGATTCATTTTGTTGTAAAAGTTTCCAAGAAATTTTAAAGTTTTTTCCTCATATAAAATTCATTACATCATTAGAGTATTTTCACTGACTTTCTATAATTTTTTACCACCTTTTTTTTTAAAGTGAAATTGTGTATTCCTGTCTAAAAGAATGCTTTTCATTCCATGTGTTGCATTTACCAAATGATGTAAACATGTTTAATAGTGCCTACTGTAGGTGCATTTACCCCAATGTTAAAAATAAAAAAAACAGAAGTTGAAAGAACATAAATGTAAGTTTTATTTTATATAAAGAGAACATGCTAACAACAATTAAAAATGTGTTACATGCCTTCTCCCTGACTCTGAAAGATAAAGCTAGTGAATATTATAAATATATGTCTTTAATCACAAATCCAGCATGTTGTATCACAAGTGGTTGTGTTTTCTCTATATGTCTGGGAAGCAACTTCTCATGACATCCATTACAAAAACTGTCTTCTATACAGATGAGGGCATCACTGACTGATCATTAAGAGTCAAATGACTGGCCAAGCACAGTGTATAGTAATTTGGGAAAGTGAAAGAAAAGTTAACCAACATATACTTTTTTTGAAGACTGTTTTTATATCTTGAAATTCTCAGGACCTCAGACAAGGAGTATTGCATAGATGAAAACAAATGATGAACAAAGGCAGTGATTCTCAAACTGAGTCATGGCACAGTAATCCACTGTGAAGTAAAATTATCTGTTATTCATTATTTGAAATGATGTGAAGAATTGGTTTTTATATCTGGTGGTCATGGACTTAAAAAATCAAACCTGAAGAATCACCTATTGATAGATTTTGAATTTTTATTGGAGAAGACTGTTCTTCAGTGGCTAAAAGAACTTTTTTAATTTTAAATTTCATATTTATGCAAACTGGGATTTTCTTATTAAATGCAAAACTGTACATTGAAGAGGAAATGAGTTTCCTCTTTTATCATAAGAGAAAATGCTAAGAAACTTTGTCAAACTCTTTCACATTGATAATATTGTTAATTGACTAAATTAAAAAACAAAAAACAAAAACATTAATTAATAATGTTCTGTAGTTTGAATTATTTTTTATAAGCCAAAATATAGAAATACCTTAATACATTTTTGAACTTGTGTATATAAAGTGTGTCAAAATAATTTTCTTATTACTAATATGCACTCCGAATAAGAAACTACTGATCTAAAATGACAGGTTTTGAGAATCCATTACATTTGGAAGAATTTTTCTATATGACTCCATGATGGCTTGCAATGTCATATTTGCAAAAATAAGGATAAACATTGTCATGCATAAAAATTACAAAAAGTTTTTCTCTTTCATTGCATAATGTTTATTATAAAATTGTACAGTAACAGTTTGTCCTGCTTCAAGCAATTGATAACCAATTTTCCATCAACCTCCTGAAAATACAGTAAAGAACAGTTTTCACAATAGATTGTATGTAAAGATGTTGAAAGTTGTCCTATATCTAGACAGTTTTCTTCCTTTTTTTTTTTTTTTTTTTTTTTTTTTTTTTTTTTTGTGACCCCCTCACATACTTGCAAAAATATTTCAATTGGTTTTGAATTTCAATGTTGTAGATGTGGCAATATATATGCTAGAGGAAAGCAATCTCTCATATAAATTTTTTTTTTGTAGGGTATTGAATATTTAATCAAGCATGACTTATTACAAAATACTCCTGAGGATGTGGCCCGCTTTCTTTTCCAAGGAGATGGACTCGATAAAACAGCCATTGGGGATTATCTTGGTGAACGGTGAATAAAATTCTTTTGTTTGTTTAAAATATATATGCAAAATAAAAAGGAAAATATCATTTCCTCCAATTCTGATATTTTAACAAAAAATTCTATTCAAATATTGTATAAAATAAGTATTTTATAATTTTAGATGGGGAAAAATTATTCCATTATGTATTATTCTGTATATACTTCATGAAGAATTGATATGAAGTAATAAAACAGGATTATATATTGGAGATGTTGGAGAAAAAAAAAGTGATATTTGCTTTCAAGAAAATGTCAATGAAGAAATCATTCTTTTTGATAATCTCAAATTTTCCAATTATTTTCCCTTTTTATTTGGAAGAATCTTTTAATGATTTTCTGAGGTGTTTATACGCTTATGGATGCATTTATGATTAAATGAGATTATGAAAGGGAAATAACTCAAAATTCAACATTTTGAGATGAATAAAATCCCTATGTAAAATGTTTATATCCATAAGTTTTATTTTTTAACTTATTAAAATACTTTTTTTGTTTTCTTATTTTTTGCTTTATATAATTAATTTTTAATGATTTCTGCTTATCTCAATTGTTTCATTAATTTTTCATGACAGTCATAATAATAATAAAATTTAATCTAGCAATCATATTTTTTCTTTTATAGAATTTTTTTAAAATTAGTATGATTACATGTTTGATTTTGTTTTTTGTTTTAATATTTTGCCTTATAAAAATATTTAAAAAAAAAATCATTTTAAAGGATTTAAATTGTACTTTTTCAAATATAATACAAATTATTTTTCAGAAATGACTTCAACATTGCAGTTTTGAAAGCTTTTGTCAATCTCCATGAATTTTCAGAAATGATTTTGGTGCAGGCACTGAGGTAAGGATTTTATTTTATTTTTTTCCTTTTCTTACCTATTTTCTTGGTAGTTTAACTCAGTCTGGCACAAGTCTGCTAACATGAAACATACAGGATTGTAGTCACTAAACAGTTTTAATATGCTAGACTAGTTTAATAATCATTATTTCACTTTTGAAGTGTAATCAAATGACTTTTAAAACATTTGTCACAAATTGCTGAGGTGAACACTGAGCAGTCAATGTGAAAGAAAAATCTCTTTGACTTTGCCTTACTTTATAAACATTTTTCTTTCTCCACTTCTATTAAATGATATGGACTACTTGTCCCAATTCTAGGCTCCAAGACTACTAAACCATTAAATGATTTACCATATGTAGACTTGTGAGTTCATACTTATCACTCTTTTAAGTTTGTCACTTGTTATCCCTTGTATTGTAATGAGATATGTGTGCCAGTTGATATGCTATTATTCTTAATGTTTTCCTTATCCACAAACAAAAACATTTGGTAAAGAGGTTAGATCTTGTTTGTAAAATATTTTCCTCATTTTGTTGATGATGTCTGTAGATAAACTTTAAAAAAAAAAAAGTTTAATTATCAAGTTTCAGATTTTTCTTAACAATGGTAGAATTTTGGATACCACTTGATTAGAGTCTATTTTCAGTTTATAATGCATCCTTTGTGAATAGACATTTTCTAGTTATAAAAGTAAAATTGCAATTTGTTGTGCTTTCATTTCTCTATCTTTTACTTGCATGCATACATTTTTAAAATGTACAATTAATGACATTTTTATTCATTTTAATAATATTCATAATTGATACAAAGAAGAGAAAAAGCCTGGTGCTACTATTAACTCACATTGAATTATTTAATAGTGGTTTAAGTAATTATCCACTTGGATGATAATCAGTCAAAATACTAAAGAAAGTTGTAAATATCTCTTTAAACTATTCTCCAGTTTTGTCAATTATAAAAATGATTGTACGATTGTACTTTGTCAAAATATAAAATGACTCAGTTTTATTAATTGTTTTCTGCTTTGGAAAAATCATATAAAACAAAATCAACTTTTAGCTTTCTTTTTCTGGTTTCAGTTTGTTACTCAAAATTAAATTCTCTTAGCCTTGTTATCGTATGTTTTAATCGCTACATTTAGTAATTTTTCTTTATCCGATTAAAATTTGATTTTAATTACTGTATATATTTGCGTATCATGTAACCTTTGAAGACCTAATAATTGACTACAGTAAATGGATATATAGTTTGATCAATGGCATAGCCAGGGCCAGTAGTACATACGGTAATTTTATATCTCATATAGGATGCAACCCCCTTAAAATTAGCTTCAAAATGATGTCTTCAAAAGTAGCATGATACGCAAATATATATGGTGTGTTTATGAATATTCATTGAATACATTGATAATTAATCAATTGACTATTTCTATATATTTTTCAGGTTTCATTATAGTGTGTTAAACATCAATACATTTTATAGTTTCTAACTTTTAATATTCAATATAATTTACTGATCCTATCTGCATATTTTGAATGGACTTTTTATACTATTAAATCTCAATTGTGATTCATTTATTTAATCCACAATGAATAAATATATTGATGTTAAAAATGAATTTATTGCAAAATAGTTTTTTGTTTTTTTTTATTTCAGTATTTATTGGGCAAAAATAAAAATGTTATTAAATCATTTTTAGGATTTAGTTCATTTATCATTACTTTAATTATTAATATTTGAATTTTGTATTTTTTTAATGTTATTTTAATCAAATTCTTCTGGGATTTTAATGGAATATTTCTGAATTTCTTTCAGACAATTTTTGTGGAGTTTCCGACTACCAGGTGAAGCTCAAAAGATTGACAGAATGATGGAATGCTTTGCTGAAAGATATTGTGAACTTAATCAAGGAGTCTTTACCAGTACAGGTAAGCATTATCTTTTAAGGTACATTTTATTTTCTGTTTTGTGAAACTGAAACCAACTTGCTTGTATTTAATGATATCTGACCATACCAACCTAAATTGATTTTTTTGCTAATTCTTGTTTTATCATCAAGAGGGAAAAAGAAACCAAGACACAAAATTAGCATTTAAAGCCTATACCTTTTTGTCAATCAGTTTAAGTCTTTTATAACCATTTTTTTTAATCTTTTTTGAGATGATTGTTTATAATGTTTCCTTTTAAAGAATAAATTATTTAGACTCCACAATCTTCTTTAGATGGTCGTGGCTGTTATCTAAGTCCACATTTTAAATGGCAAGATTTATGGGTTTAACTAATTTTTTTTCTTGCATGCCAATAGATTTTTGTCATAGTAGTTGAAGATGAGTAATATTTATTATTCAAAATCATTGTAAACTTTCTTTTGTCGGGTGGGTCACAAGAGTTTAAACTGTTTTAAGATGTAACAATTGCATTTGGTTGAAAAATATCAAGAGGTTTGTTAATTTCAGAAGAAAAGAAGCTTTTGACAATTTATAAAAAAGATAATTTTATTCTTAATTATAAAATTTGTGCCATTTGATTTGAACACTTAATTTTTTTTAAAGATATTTTTAATTAACCTTTTCCAGATTCAACAAATATTTGTATTTTTGAGATAGATACTTATAGATTTGTTAGTAAATTTGTTTAATTCAATTATACAAATAACATTTGGTATTTGTCATTCCTTATCACATTACCATTTTTTTTTTGTTATTCAAATGTTTAAAAAATGCCTGAGTTAATACTTTCTTTTTTAAAAGAAAAGCTTAAATTGATTTTTTTTTTTTTTTTTTTAAATAAATTCATTTTCACCCCCTCTCTCATAAAATTTCTTTATTTCTCATTTCCAACCCTCAAATTTTATGCCTCCATTTATATCTTTTTCTTTTTTCTGCTTAGGTTTTTAAAACCATCAGACAAAGTTTTTTTTTTTTTTTTTTTTTTATTATTATTATTTTCTCTTTACAAAAACAAATTTGACATAAAAGTTAATGGTTCAGGAAACACTTTCCTCCCCACTTTTACTCTAACACTCTACAGTTTATTTTATTTATTATTTTACATCTCTTTTCTTTTAATTTTTTTTTATATTCTCTCTTAATTAAACAAAAATGGTATAGTATGATATCAAATATTTCCCTGTAATTATATTTTACTATTAAAAAAAATGAAAGATTTTTTTTTTGTGTTCTTTTTTTCCTACAAGATTCAAGAGTTTTACCAGAGCAAAAATTATTTTGCTGTTCATGAAAGCACATAAAAGAAAAAAAGGAACCCTTCTTTACAATTTTGTCTTCACTAACCTAAATGTTTTGTTTATTGATTTCTTTATTTGCAAAACAGGCATATTGTCATGACTGAAAAATACACAGTAATTCTATTGTTATTTATTTTGTTGGTCACAAAATCCTTGTGGGAAAATAGTTTCCTCATCTTGATGGCTGCCTGGGACAGTGTCCTTTCACATAAATTCTTGAACATTTTCGTTTTTGTTTGTTCATGATTTCATGGCATTACTCTTATCAAACTTTATGCTCTTCAATGAATGTTTGCTTACTGATAGTTTTTATTTTATATAAACAGGAGCATTTATTTTTGTGTGTACTTTCTAGATTTTGACTTTTGATCTTAGTTAGGTTTCACAAGAACTTTATCACATGACCTTGCCATATTTCAGCATCTTTATATTTATCCAGTCAGCACTCTAAATATGGAGAAAATTAAGACAGATATATCTATATTTCAGTGGAAACATTTCTAATGTTGGTTTGTTGAAATTTAGTCAGTACTTCTGTTAGTTTATTAAAGAGACTGTTAAAGATACTTAATAGCCTTGGAGTACTGACTTTGCTATTTTTTGTCTATCGGAGTTAATGACACTTTTATCTGATATTGATCCCTGTCTCTTAATTCCTCATGTTTTGATCACAACAATATCACTTGACACCATAAGTTTTTTTTTTTTTTTTTTTTTTAAGAATGTGCTTTGGTATCATATAAACAATTAATGCAATGGGTTTTTATTTTGTTATAGAATTTTTTTCCTTTTAAACATTTGTAGAATTGGAATTTAATTTAAATTTTCTGTCTTTTCTTTTTGTGCAATTTATTGCAGTATTGGATACTTCCAGTGTGTGGAAATGTCATTCTCAGATTTGGGTCAGCAATTTAATAGACTAATTTTATTTCATGCAGAACAGTTTTGTATATAAAGATCAGTTCTGTGTTTTTATGCAATTGCATAAAGGATAAAGTGGAAATAATTCTTTATTTTTTGACTTGACTGGAGCAAATATTATTTAACTGAAACACATAGTAACATATATTTTATATACTGGCAGAATAAATATGAGTTGAATATTATATAGTCAGTAGTGATTACAATTATTACTTGAATTAATATAAAACTTTTATAAGAAGGTAAAATTTCATTAAATAGCATAATGGCTTTAAAACCTTTGATTTGTTTGCTAAAAGAACAAGCAAGCTAGTACATCAAAGTTGGTTAAATATAAGTCATTTTATGCTTAAGATTTTTTTTTCTCCAGCTCATATTAGGGAAGTAAGTATTCTGTGAGAGAGAGAGGGGTGTACAGTAAATATAGAGATTTTTATTTTATATGGCAACATCTTTTAAACTATATCAAAGAATCATCTGTGGATAAGAATATTTTATTCCCTTGAACGTTATTATATTTTTGTTTTCCTATTGCAAAAGCATCCTATCTTCTAAAATTAAAATTATATCTTATAAAGAATTATTCAGAATCTAGCAATTTATGTGTGTGCATTTATGTCAAATGTTTCATTTTACTGATGGAAAATATGCATGTCAAATTGATAATTTTGAGCTATTTAAAAATAGTTTACTCTATTTTAATTATGTTAGATTTAAAAAATACTTATAATTATTTTTGTATATAAGTTAATGAGATTTATGTATAGATTTGAAACAAAGCAACTCCTTAGAAATGTCTTGTAAGTCATTGCAAATATTTCTGGAATTTATGTAACTTTGAATAAAATTTTAGTTTCTATGTTAGAAGTACTTTTATATATTTGTGATATTTACCATAAACTATATTTTGGGTCTAAATGTTTGTCTTGTATTAGATTTTTCTAAGACTCCTTCTCAATTAGTTCAAACAACCAATCCTTGTGGTGGAGGGAAAAACACTTTTAGGCAATGATGATTTGTTGAAAGATGACCATGTGACTTTTGTCACTTAACCTCTTTGATTATAAGATTTTAGTTTTACTTGAAATGCACCTTTCATGGTGGAAGAAATTGGTTTGTCAACAATTGGCTATGTAGACAAAATATAATTCTTTTAATTGCAATGAAGAATTAGACAACTGTTATTTAAAATATGAATAGTTTCTTTGTGTGTTGCAGCTTATCTTGACAAAATTTGTCTGAAAGTAATTTAATTGTAAAGGTTATCTTTGTATCACACTAGAGAACAATGAAGTCATTTCCACATTCCCAAGACTAATGTTGATATTTTATGGATTTTAATTCCCTCTTATTTCTGTACTGTTGTAGATTTTATAAACAAGCCCATAATTTTTCTTTTAAGAAAATGGCTTCTTTTTCTCATTTAAACATAGCTATTTAGTGATTGTATTTAGTTCACAAACTGCTTTGTTTAGGGAGTTATTGCTTTGAATAATTTAAAAAAGAATAATCTTATATTAATGGATTTGTTACAAGGCTTGATGTTAGATTTTAAAACCTTTAACTTTGTCTCTCAAATGATATTCTGCAAGATATTAAAGAATATATAATTTTTACTTTGGATAAGTATTTAAATTCTACTTGCTTTTTCATATTGTATTTATGACAAACTTGGACCTTTATGCCTGAAAAAAAAAGTGTAAAAAGGAAAGTTTTTTTCCATTGACACTGATGTTAAACTACCTTCACTCCTTGGTAAAGTTTGTTTTTTAAAAAGTGATAATTAGGATCATAATAAAATCTAAGCATATGAAAGTGAATTTATGCATTTTCTTTGTTCTTGAGAATTGAAAACAAAAATAAACACTGTTTATTACAGTATTTATTTGCACTTTATTATTTATTGGAATGGTTGGCAAAACATCAGCTAATTGTCAGTTGATTTGAACTTTATAAATTGGTAAATAAGGATTTACTTAGTTTGTTCATATTTTAATAAGTAGAAAATGTTTATAAATTTATGAAGAAAATATTTTTATATTTATTTCTTTGTAAATTGATAAATGATAAGTATTGCATTAGTTTTAATTAGTTTTTAAAATGTAAATGTAAAATTATTCTTGTAAATAAACAACCTAATAAACAATGTTTAATATTTTTGATGTCAATTCTCAAAAATAAAAATAAAAAATATAAATTCACTTTCATCATATACTCAGGTTTTATTGCAATTCTAATCATTGGTTTGAAAACAATAAATATTGCTGAGGAGTGAAGAAAATAATAGTGGTGCCAATGGAAAAATCATCCTTTTTGACACTCTGTTTTTGGGTGGGTATGAATGTGATAGTTTGCTGTATATTGTCTCTTTTGCACAGACTTTTTTTTTTTTTTTTTAGAAAAAAGGTAAGGCATCTGAAAGAGGATTGTAAAATAATCTTTACTGCTAATATTTATAATTTAAATTATGTATATTCTTTACTGTGCCACTCCTTTTCTCTGATGGTATATTATAATAATTCAGCAGGTTTTGTTGATTTTTGAATGGAATATGATTTTCTAATGTAATTTTACATGTCAAAAACTCACTTTTAAAAATCACTCCAAACAGTGAATATAATTATTGATACTTTATCAGATTTTTATTTAGACCAAATTTAAAACACACCCCAATTATTTTTATTACTTCAAATGATATTATAGTGGACACTTCCTATTGGAAAGGACACTTACTTGAAATAGGCATACCATTTTTATTAA